ATCATGTAATTTATGATGTCATTGATGTCAGATTATTTAATTGATTTAAAAACTTCATGATATATAATATTTTTTGTTTAATAATCTCTATTCATATTTGCATTATTAGATATAAAAACCTTAATGCATTGATAAAAAGTAATCCTTAATAAAGTGACATATAGCTAACATATGAAAAAACTAATTGTGGTAGATATAAATCCACCTGACTTAATGTTTGACCTTGTGATTTGTTAATAGTTATACAAAATGCAATTCACATTGGAAACTGTCGTCGCTTTAGAATAAAAGGCATATTTGTATCAGAAGATGTTAATGTGACTTGAAATATGTAAACATGCTTTTCAATATTTTTTCTGTAATTATTTTTGCATCTATAACTTTACTGTAAAGTTCACAGCAAATTAATTGAATCCTATTACAAAGTTTCTCTGACAGGCTTGGATTTTATAAAAACATAATTAGTGTTTTTAATTTTAATTTTAATTCACCTGGCGAAAGGCCAGAAATATTTAAGGATCTTAAAAATTCAGAAGAATATAATTGAGGCTGTTTTGTGTTACTATCCTTACTTAGATCCACAAAGTTTATACTGGGGTATGTATGAACTTTACCATGAAATCGATTCATTATTAAATCAGAAATTTTTTCAACATCATTATTTTTTGAAGTTAAAATAGCTCTGTCAATCATATAATCTACACTATTAAAATTTTCAACTAAATTTGGATAGACAAAATCAATAAGATCCAATAATTTTTTTCCAGGTATTACTATTTCCAAAGAAAATTCAATATGTTTTTTATATCCAGAATAATTGGATATTTACCATTTTCAATTTTTAAAAGAAATTCAATAAAATTTTTTTGTTTTAGGTTTTCATAAACATCATTGGTCCAGTAAAGTTTTATGTTAATTATCAATTTTATTACTCTCATATGTCTTCATAAAAATGATCAACTTAAGCTTGCTAAAACAATATTAGTACGAGATAACAGGCAGAACTTGATGAAAATTCCTTTCAAATAATAAATCTATCCTGTTGATATTACAAAATATCTGGTTGAGCACTTCAAATGCAAACTTATAGGCCATTGAGACCTTATCTCAAATAAAAAGCTTTGCAATGCTAATTAAATAGACCTTCTTATTTCCTCATAAGATGCTACATATTGGATATTACACTATTTTTATTTATGATTGCTTCTATTATCTCCACATGCTCTTCAATTTTCCTTGCTTTTTTTTTTTTAATCTCGCAATCAGGTTGGTATCATTTATTTATTAAATTATAGAAAATTATTATATATATGAGAATATATACAAAGTACAAATTTCCCTGACCCAACTTACTCATCTTTAGCTGAAGCCTCTAGATTATACATGTGGCATAAATTATTTTGCTGTTGACTCAATTTCCAAAATCCTCAAAAATAATTGCGTCATGACTCAATTATTTATATGTTTTAATAGTAACTCAATTAATTGCATCAAATAATTGCATCAATTGCGTCAAGGATTTACAAATTTTAGCAACATGTATACTCTAGATGCAATTTATAGATGTGATATATTGTTTTCCTAAAGGATGGGATTAAGATCCTGGACTTTTAATAAGATCAGCATTTGCAGATCACCTTTACAGTCACAACTATAAATCCAAATTGTATTACCTCCCTCTTGTAGAAACTATGCAAGAGGAAAAAGAAATAAAAAAAGGAATTTTTTTGACAAAGAAAAAAAAAAAAAGCTATCATCTATTCTAACTATCATGGAAAAGGTTATCTTAGTAAACTTAAAATCCAAGCCGCTCATGGTTTTTCACTTCTCATCACCTGTAGCCAGTTAGACTGTTTAATTTTCAATAGAGTAGTCAATATCCAAGAACATTTAAGAGCATTTTCAGGAGAGTATTTTTTGAAACTTTATGCTTGAAGACTTCTAATCAGAAAAGATGTTGGTTTTCTATTGTTGATTTCTTTCCCAAGCCATGTTTTCTGGAATTATAACTTCACTTAACTAGTGGATAGTTTCAAGATTCTTTTCTCTAACTATTTTCGAGATAGATATTGGTACTTCAACTTGTTATCAGATTGGGATAGGACCTAAACCTTGTTGCTACTTCTTGTCCTTAAAAAAGAATAATGAAGAAAATAAAAGAAAATAAAAGGATAGGAACAAAAAGAGGTTGTTTCTCTTCTTCTTACAACTTCAACTTGAAACCATTCAACTTTTTCAAAAACCAATTACATCATCAGTTTAGTGTTGCACAACTGGGAACATATGAGAAGTACATGTCTTGTTTATTTTTTCTGTAGCTGACGTAATCAACCAATCTATGACCTTGACCAATCATCTTTCAGGAAATCCAGTGTGACCAAAAAATTCAGGGTCAAACTAAAGTAGGTAAAATTTCTTAGAAAAACCAGAAAAAAGGAAACACGCTTGAGAAAAAAGAAGTGGGAAGCCAAAAAAATAATGGAAAAACTGGAGACTTTTTTATTCTTGTTTCTTTAGATTCTTGAATTTTTTGAAAGTCTTTGGAGGGTATTTTTTCTTGTTAGTTTTCTTTCTATAAAGATGTTCTTGTCATAAACCTTTTAGGTAGGTTTCTTGTATTTAGTTACAAAAATAAACAAGAAAAGTGTTTTGAAAAAGAAAAATAAAACAAGTGGTGGCTTCTGTTCGCTTAGCTGGTTAAAACCAGTATTGTTTTTAAAAAAAGTAAGACTCTGAAAAAGTATCAAACTGGTATCGAACTGGTATCGAACTGGTATCAAAATGGTACCAATCTATAGTAAATTTAATATACAGGTTGTGACCTACTTATATGTTTTTATAGTAAATTTAAATATCAAACTGGTATTGAAGTAATATTGTTAGGAGTTCTAAAAGAAAGTATATAGATTTTTTTATCATAAAGACAAAAAATTTTTTGAGAATGTCTGTTTTTTGAATTGGCAAAAGGATCAGTGGAAAGAGTTTTTATTTCACTATTTTTTATAGTAAGAGGAGTTACTTTCTTTCTATGGAAGAAGGTGCAGAATCAGGTTACCACTAGATATTTTTATGGCCACTTCTGATATATCTGGTAGTTAGACAACTAATGCTTACCAGAATGATCATATCAGCTCCACTTCTAAGATGTCAGTACTATTATAAGATTTGATTCCATAATTTTTCTCAACATCCTGGGCCTTTTATGGAAGACAGTTCCTTATATTTTTATAATAGATCTGAATCCAGGTTGTCACTGGTTAGGAACTATCTAATAACAAGTTTCTTGTTTGTATTTTATACTGGCCCTATAGATAACAGTGTCATGATAGTTAAGCAACTTATACTTACCACAACAGCTCCTGTGAATTGGTTCAACAGGCATGTACTGCCATTACCTGATATTAAATTTACAACCTCCTTACAGAAGTACTAATCCTTTTACCAATACATTAAGTTCCCATAGGAACTTCAATTTCCCTTGCTATATTATTTATTTTTTGTTTTTTTTTATAATTTTTTAGCCTTTCCCTAGCAAACTGTCTCTTTCAATACTGTGCAGATATTTTATTAAGATTTTGTTTATACATTATTAGAGTATTGATAAAAGATTTTTGAAACAATTCTTCATTACGCAAATATAATATCATGTGATTATAATATATAATTGGGCAAAGATACCTACCTAGAAAGAATAATGGATAGCATGTTTTTTTAGAAAACCTAAAATAATATTTATGGTCTCTTAGAAGAATTGATTTTAGAGTATCTTTATTAATATAAAGTCAAATCTCTTTTATTATAAAAAAAGCTTTTTATTATCATGCCCTACTGGTTACTAGCCATTTTGATGAAAATCTACATATTAGTTAAAATAATCAATAAAATAGTTATTAATTAATATCATTTAGAATATAATTGTTCGTCTATTAGAATAAACTACTTTAATTTCCAACTTTTATTTGGTAAGTCTTATAATGTGCACCTATAATATAAATAATTTATTAACTTATGTTTGATACTTATAAAGAAGTAGTTTTCTGTTTCATGCATTATAGTAATAAAATAATTTATTTTAGATTAAATATTAGTTTAAGTTCTCAAGCAGTTCTTCAATTTTATCTATCATATGATAAGTACTTGAATAATTATTTATATATATACATTAAATTAAACTAGGGAAACGGGGACCATTGTTAAGTCCGGAACTCACTTAACAATTAGGCAACACGTGACTATTAACAGACTCAGTCGCGTGATCGATGGTTACGCCATCGCGTATCTGAAGCACAAAGTTAGATAGTTTAGATAGCAATATTATATATACTTTATGCATGTTTGAAGCGATCAACTCGCTATGCTCGCAACAATAGTTCTACACTTCAGACTAATTAACTTCACGGGACATTAATAAAGATCGGTAATTTCGTGAATTTTGTTATGTGTAGATCATTTATTTTAGACACGTATTAATATTCAATGCAAATACAAGTGACGATCTAAAATAGCAACTAAAACTCTGCTTATAGTCCAACGCTTCGTTCCAGACTAATAATAATTGTCGTAACAAATCTTATAATCACTTTTGTGATGACGGATAGACCTAATTTTGTATGACATCGATCACTAATTATTGACTTTTATGTATATTGAATTTGTTTCTTTAAAAGTAGCGAAAATGAATTTACGAAATGTCACACTTATTTTTATTTGATTTATAATGTTAAGTTGCGTAATTTCCTAATATTTTTCAATACATAGAAATGTCAATGGAAGAGACATAATAAATAGTTTAAAAGGTCGTACCATATATATTTTATAAGTCTTTAAAATAGTTTATCAGATAGTTAATTGCAAATTATGTAAAGTTTAATACTTAATTGTAAATTACGTAAAGTATATTTGAGTCTATATATTTAATACTTAAGTAAAGTTAATTTATTCTTTGATAATAAAAATTAAATTTATACAGTATAAATAATTTAATAAAAAAAGAATTATAAATGGATAATAACACTTCTAACCCTAAGACACTTCGAAAGCGAAACAGTAGAATGAGAGAGTCAAATGAACAACGTCAAATACGTCTAGCATGTGATCGAGAAAGAAAATGACAAAAACGAGCAATGGAGACAAAGGAACAACATAATATGCGCATTGCTAGCAATCTAGAAAGAAAAATCGAAAAAAGATTAACAGAAACTAATGAAGAATGAGAGCACCATCTAAACACTGAAAAAAAACGTAAAAGTGCTGCACGTGTAAGAAATAATATAAGAAATAATATAATGCAACAAACAGATATTGAGCGAAATCACAGAAGTTCAACCATACAAACCAGATTAAACCAGGCCATCTCAATTAATGAAATAGAGCAATGGCAACATCAAGATATTCGTAGCCCAGCCACTTCAATTAGAGAAAAAGAACATTGTCAACATAATTCGAATAATGCAACTTCCATCGAGTGTAAACAACATCAATGGCAAGATTCCTATAATTCTGCCACAGCCATTAATGTGAATGAACAATCTCAATCACAAGAGTTTTGTAACTCAGCCACTATTATTAACGAAGTTGAACACCATTTACTACAAGAATTCCGAAACAAAATGGATAATATAAGTTATAAACTTTGTAATATATGCAACGAATGAATTCCATGCATGACGCTTGTTAAGGGAATGTGTAGACGATGCTATACAGAAAAGTCCATACCAAAGAAATTTTTAGCTGAAAATAATATGAATCCTGGGAAGGTACCAGACAAACTCAAAAGGTTTACAGAAATCGAAAAAATGTTAATCTCCCAAGTCTTCACAATTATAATGGTATATCGTCTTAAAGGAGGACAGAACGGATACAGAGGAAATGTCATCAACTTTTCTCAAGACATCCAAAGTTTTACAAATAAGCTTCCACGAGATCCTTTAATGTTAGACATTCTTGTTGTACGACGTCAATTATCAGATAAACCAAATACATTTAGAGACTTTACTGTACGCAAAAAAAAAATATGGAGAGCTTTATTATGGTTACAAGATAATAATCCTTATTACA